CTGAAGTTTGTAAACCAGATTGATGAAAAAATTCAATTCACGATGGAAGTAGAGGAAGTTAAGCGGTTACTGTTCCTAGACGTTGAAGTGATTCGCTCTAATGGGACGCTCAGAAAGAAACTTTTCAGAAAGTAGTTCTATGCGGGTATAATACCCAATTTTCGGTCCCATCCCAATTACAGGCTAAAGATAAGAATAGTGAGTAGCATGATCAACCGAAGCCTACATTTATCAAGGTAGAATTCTGGGATAAAGAGCTGGACAAATTGACGAGGATATTGCTCGGCAATGGCTACCCAAGCGAAGTGATACAAAGAAACATACGGGCCGTGAAAAGCCGATGTCAGAATGGGGATTATGAAGGAACAGTAAGGACAATGAAGGATTCACAAAAGTCGATATGCCTACTAACTAACTCAGAATCTACGGCCAATATTGAGTGAATAGAATATTCAGGGGGCCATGAAAGAGAAATCAAAACTTTTCACAAGTCTACCAACGCAACATGAAAGGTTAGATAAATTTGATTAATCAGGAGTTTACTGTATATCATGCAAACATAAATATATTGGCGAAACAGGGGGAAAAATTAGCACATGAATCAAGGAACATTAAAGGCTCTGCAGGAAAATGGATACCAAAAGATCGGAACTAGCGGAACACATCACAGAAACTGAACACGAGGTCAATTGGAAGGCAACATAAATAAGAGCCTCATACAGTGACAAAACAAGGAAGCAAAGATTAGGGAGCTTATTCAAATCGTTTGGGAGAAAAATCTAATGAACAAAATATTGTAGGAAGGTGAGAGTTTTCGGCGATCAAGAGAAGACGTTGTCACTGAGTGATGTCCGTTTCGAATAAACCAGTAGAACTTTGGGGGCCTGGCAGTCAAGGGGATGGGCAGACGGATAAGCAAACCGTCGCGGAAATTCTGCGTTATGGCCAAAATGTACTAGAAATCCACTTGAGATGCCACATGCGACCAGAGATAGGCGTCCAAAGTTTGCTCAACTTACACGAGTTTAATCAAGGAGACGACCCGTGAAGGCAATACCTAAGATCTGAAAGCATGGGAATCAGAGCCTAAGCCATGAGAAATATCGCCTGGAGTAAAACGCACACTTGAACTAGAACTGGGTGAAATCGGTAACCATAAAGATAAGGAATGCATCTAGGGGACCATGAGGGAGATCCTAATAAATCGCCCAAGTCGGATCAGCCGATCGAAAGAGAGCGGGTTGGGGTGAATAGCAAGTGTGATGAGGCCACAAGAGATTTTCTACAAAAGGTCACGCATTTTGACGAGTGGAAGGTAAGCAAGTGAGAAGTTGTGATAGGATGGGAGTTGGATAAGAGGGTAAAGAGTGTATAGATAGGCCAGAACAGAAAGAGGAGTGATAGTGTAACCGTTTTCGCCAGAACGTTTGTCGAGGAATTGAATACACTTGTCTCTTTGACGAGGGCTAAGCTTGGTGGAGAGAATGACAAAACTCACTGATGATGCCGACTACGATGCAGGCGAAACGTCTGCGAATGTACCAAGTCCACTGTCTGATGCTGGGAATTATGATAACTTATATGGCAGACGAATTCGGACTAGGTGCGTTCTACTAAGTCGCCTTAACAATAATACCAAGCTGCGACAACGAGGTCAACCAACTTCTAAAATGAAATAAACTTGTTTCACGAAGCTAATTCTTACGCAAATTTTTATTTTGGCAGAAGTTAGTTGTAATATCTGCAGATTGGAATAAACGATAATAATATTAATAGTTCGATTTCACAAATGAGCCGGTCAGTCTTTTTGACTGAGTGCTGATTTGAGACCTGAGTATCGTATTAAAGCCAAACTACTGTATTGTAGCAAGAATCCAATGTCGTCCTGTAATTAAATAGACCTACTAATCTCTTTATCATGAACTTTCCTGCAAAATCAAATTCCTCACAACAGTATCAAGGATTAGTTGTAAAATAGCCTCGATTTAATTCTGGCGAGCCGACATTTTTTCGTACCCCAAGATAGACTCGAATTATGGTCATTTGAATCCACAATCATATGGCTTAGCGGACACTTCATGACACTTCGGCAGATACTGTATAAGGTTGGTCCTTCTCTATTTTTGTCCATACAAGAGACACGTCAAGAAGGGAAGTTCCTGCCATAATTGGCCCGAAAACATAGGAGCGATGTACAATGAGAGGTCAAATCTTTTAGATTGGACTGGTACATATTTACCTCAAAGTCAAACAAGAAGCAATAAAATAAGGAAAGAGAAGCAATCACCGTGGATATGAAGAGAAGCTTGAACGTTTCACTTAGTTTAAGAAGGCGGATGAAAAGGATTTGTAAGTTTGTCTCAACAGAAGCCGAACGAGGAAACTATGGCTGTAGAGTTGCCGGAATAATTCTTTGGCACACCGTCCCTCAACTAAAATCAATCTATGCTGAGCATTCTTCTGTCCAGCCGTGACAGATGTCGTCAAAATGTGGCGTTTTGTGTTCCAATAAGGTGGTGAAGTAGTGCACTCATGACATCTTCGCACAAATTTACATACACGTCTGTGTTAGACAAACCTAGGGTTTTTGGTTTGTAAAATTTACGAGTCTCTTATAGTCGCTTTTCAATTTAAATGAAAGGAATCAAAACAAGAAGCAATCCTTAAATTAATTGCAATAACACAATAGTATTAACACAGGGAAATTTTAAGGATTTCATTAAAGGACAAATCCCGTCGAATCTCAGTAGAAAGGTAATATTTGTCTTGGAGAAAAAGTAGCACAGCCATGGCAGTCTCTGAGATCAGGTCAAACTAAAAGAGGCAGCTAAAAATGCGAGTCCACGCCAGTGGCGTGGCCTAGGTGGAAGGATCAAGAGCTTATGCACTCAAAGGAATAAACGAAGAGTGACTAGGATTCGATAAATTTCTTAAGATAAAATTGTTGGGAAAGCTTTAATTTTGTATAAAAGTGCATGATGAAAAGATTCATTGAATAGTTGGATCTCACCGGAAGACGATGATATTTTTCTGGAACCATTTGGCCTTAATATGACTTTCTATTTAACGTAGTTCACGAGACATCAACTCTCGTATCTGGTAAAAACGAGCCCAGCTTTCGCCTTTGATGCCGCTTGGTAGACATCCTCAAATCTGAAACTCGCTATTGCAAAATTTTCGAGTCAAAATTAAGTCAAAAAGAAGACTCTTCTTCTGAAAGAACGAGTTTCAACTCTGAGAAAGTTAATTAAATAGCATGGTAGAGATAAGACGCAGTTTTATAGTAACCGATGTTAAAATGGACTATATTACTTATATTTATTGTGAGTAGGCCTAGATATTATCAGTACATTTCGAAGGAGCCTCCTTGACTTAGTGTTAACTTAAGATATGAACTGTGCATTAAAGTCAAACAGGAATTGACCGTCGTCTTTCGGTGAGGTCAACCAACGAATCTCATCATCTTGCACCTTCATACGAAATGAAACAAGTGATTTAAGCCTTAACTACCTTTTAATTCGGCCAAATGGACGCCGACAGACCCCGCCGAGTCGGAATCGTAAGTCACGGTGTTGACATCGTTCTGTCTGTCTGGTACCAGCGTTGACGACCCAGTCGGTGGCGTCGGCATGACCAGTCTGCACAACTGACTGGTCAGTGGCCCGAGGAGGCTGGAGTCGGCACGCAGGCGACAATAGCGGCGAGCGAGTTGATGAAGCTCGGCCGACCAGGCGACCTGGAGGGTGGCCGAAAGCCGGTTGACGGCGGGGTAACCAGAGGCGGCGTAGACGCCCAGAAGACGCTGGTTGGCCCGTTCGCCTGTCCAGCAGGTGTTGTTCAGCACGAGGAGAAGACCACGAACCTGAACAAGAGGCGTGTGCACACGTAGGTCAAACAGAGACGGACAAAGGATATAGATGAGTTGATATATAGTGAAATCGAACCAAAGTATAGTATAATATTATAAAGTTCAAATACTAATAAATAGTATTTTTCGTTTTGAGTAAGGCTTTCGTAACTTGATTGTATTCCCATTTAATCTTCAGAGAACGTTTATCGTACTGCACCTTCTGTCATTGTGGTCAAATACAACTTTGCTTCATCAACAATCCCAACACAGAATGTGATATGGGAAAACGCGTGTCCTTTCTTGAAATTAATATCTACCCTGTGACCCATAAGCAGTCGTGGAAATGTAGCCTAGTGGTTAACGTGTCAAGATAATACGCTGCACTATTATGATTCGACTTCCTCTGAGAGTGTTGATAAGATCAAGTCGAGGTCAAAACTGCAGTCCACCCTGGGTGAGAATAACTTTTGGAAAAGCAAGGCTGTGTGAAATTCAACGGAATCATCAACTCAACTCATATGATTGTATGGAA